CCGTGCGTGCCTGCAACGGTGACTGTGCATCCCCAGCTCTGCATGTGTGTCCCCCTCATTTACCTGCCCAGGTAGCCTAGCTTTGGGCGGGACGGTTCCTGGGAGCCCACACTTCCCCCAACCCCACGTCATGGACCCAAGACAACGGTGCACTGGGACTCGTGAGGACAGCAGCCAGGACACCCACAGCCTGGTCACACAGTCACGGCCACGGCCTGCGACCACAGCTGCTGCGCTCTGAGCACCTCTCAGGGACCAGACGTTGGAGGCATCGTTCCGTTCACTCCACACAGGTGCCCAAGCTCCAGGCCAGGTGGCCTGACTTTCCCGAGGGCTCCAGGCTCGCTCTGGGGGCAGTAGGCCTCCGCGGCCAGCAGGAAGCTGCCTGCTGAATTTGGGCAGGAGGGCCAATTTGACGCTGAGGAGAAGGCTCGCTGGGGGTGTCATCTGAGGGAACCTGCAGACCTTTGAGCCCCAGCCCCCAGCCAGGTGTGCCTGTGGGCAGGAGGGACCCCAGCATGTGGCCTAGTGCCTGGGAGGGGCCCCATACACAAAGGAGCATCAGCTCACGCCACCGCCAACGGGAGGCAAACCTTCTTCCCCACAGCTCCCGAAAGGGTCAGCCGCAGCCTCCTGCCCCCTGGCTGCTAGGTGTCATTAAGCCCTGGGTCTCAGAGTAACACCTGGACCACCCCGGTCCTGGTGCCGGTGCCTGATCTGGTTTTGTCTGCCCCCCATCCTGCCTCCCCAGGGAGCTCGCTCCCTTCCACAGGGCACTTCCTGCGGGCTCCACCCTCCAGCCTGATCGCCTGCCAAAGGCCCACCTCCTCAGGCCACCACCTCAGTGGTGAGGCATCTGCAGGTACATTCTGTGGGTCCGTGGTACCCGGTCCTGGCTCAGGGGAAGTCCAGCCAGAGCTTGCCCGCTCCAGGCAGCAGTCAGGGAGCTCAGCTCCTGGAACGTAACCCTCGCCCCTGAGCCCAGCAAAGCAATTCCTTGGCGTTCATGGAGTGCAGCCTTCCTTTCCTACAGCTGAACCAACAGAAGGACCCGCACGCACACAGAGCCCAGTGACCCCCGTCCCACCAGGCACTTCCCTCGGGGCCCATCTCGGCCTGGACCGCGTGGGAGAATGACGGGGCCAAGGCCTGAGTGACGGTTTCCGGATCTGAGTTGACAGGCAGAGCCCGAGTTCAGGGCCCTGGAGGATGATGGAAGGGCCTGGAGTTGGGGGTCCTCAGGCCAGCCAGCCCCCAGCCCCCTGGGTGGGGGTGTTTGGCACAGACTGAAGTCGGGGGTGGTGTGGGAGGGACCCGGAGAGGACGAAGGCACCTCCCCACGGCAGGGGCTGCTGGGCCCTCCTCCTCACTGGGGCAGGGACAGGGCATGGGGTGCCGGGGGAGCCCTGGGGGAGGTGTGGCTGAGCTGGGGAAGCACTTCCCTCCACCAGGGCAAGGTCGGGAGGGCCAGAGGTGAGAGGCTTCTGCTGGCTCAGGTGTGTGCCCCACTCACTGTGAGGTCAGGGGTCAAGGGAGCCCAGCGCAGGGCTTCAGAACCCCGACACTGACCTCTGCTCCGCAGAGCCAGCACCCCACACAGACCTCAGGTCCCTCGCTCACAGCAGGGGTCCTGGAGGGGGGCCCCAAGCCACCAGGAGACCAGGTTGGTGGTGGGCTCAGGGGAGACCCAGGAGGTGGCAGCTTTGAGGTAGCAGCAGCCAGGTGCTTTCTGATAACCCTGGAGACTGGGCTGCAGAAAGGGGCGCCGTGGCCCGGGGGTGTCAGTGCCCCCAACCTGTCCTCTTGTGAGGTCCGGGGCCTGTGCACCGCCCCCTCCCCCGCTCCGACCCAGGCTGCCCCGTCAGTTATCACCAGAAGCGACCCAGAGCTGTCCAGGTGCCGCAGGGGCGAGCATGCGCTGTGCCCAGTCAGCACGTGCCCTCAGGGCTCGGGAGCTGCTTCCAGGTCAAAGTCAGGCCAAGCCCCTGGGCTGGCCCCCTGGCGGCAGGCCTGCTTTCCAACCGCCTTCAGAACCCGTTTCTGGGGCAGGCGGTGGTGACCCCTGGGTGGTCGTGGGTGCATTTCTTTACTGCCCCTGTTATTTACACTTATCTTAAATTTTACACTAAATTTATTGTTGTTTGCGTAACATTAACCTACATTTTAGCAGCTTACAACCAGTGGCATTCACTGCTCCGTACAGTGCCTGGGGGCGGGAATTGGGAGCTGCTCCCGGGGTTCTGGCTCGGGGCCCCCACATCAGGCCACAGTGGGGGCTCATCTGAAGGCTGGATGGGCCCGGGACCTGTGGCCAAGCATGCTGCTGCGGCTGCGACAGTGGTTCCCGGTGCTGCTCTGCTGGCTTCTCCACAGTCAAGTGCAGCTGGTCCCCCCCACCCCGAGGGAACCACACTGGACCGACAGACAGACAGACAGGGAGCAGGCAGCACCTGAAGCCCAATCTCAGAGAGACAGGGGCCGCCAGCTCACTGTGCTCACCAGCAGAGTAACAGGAGGAGGGTGGGCGGGGCCTTCCGGGAGGCTGTCAAGCCAGGCCCTGCTTCCCTGTCCCCGGTGGTGCATCCCGGGAGGGGCGTCACCCTGGAGATGGAGCGGCTGGCACAGCTTGGGGGGGTCAGGATGTGCCGGCGGAGGGGAGGGGGCTGTGGCCCCTGGAGAGAATCAGGCCGCTGCAGGAGCCTTGGTGGGGAGCAGACCCAGCCTTGCCCCACTGTGAGTGTCCTGGGCTGGTTCTGTCTCCAGACTTCACACTTATGATTTCCTGTCACTGTCCTGGCCCCAGGCCCTGGCCCCACAGGCAGGCAGGCAGGCAGGCAGACAGAGGCGGACAGACTGACCCAGATGGTCAGGGCTCTGACACCCAGAGGCAGGCAGATCAGCTGATAGTGCATATGAACTCAGCAAACTTTTATTGACCTCTGGTCCTCGAAGGAACTGCGCTGGAAGGGGGCCAGAGATGAGCAAGCCACTGCGTCACCACTGAGGGGAAGTGACCGAGAGCCCCACCCCAGTCCTGGTCCCTCCCCACCCCCTCCACATGCCTGGCCTGGAGGTGTTTCATCATTACTTAGCAGGAAGTGTCTGCGAGATAAAAGCCAAGATAAAAACAGCCGGGGTGGGAATGACCCACCCAGAGCCCACGGGAGACGGAGAAGGGGGCGGGAAGTAGGGGAGGAAAAAGAGCCCCCCCCTGGGGAGAGCCCTCCGTGGTCTGGGCCCCAGCTCTCCGCTGGCTGGTCGGGGGAGGGGGTGCTTCCTTCCACAGCTGGGGGCCAGGGTGCTGTTTCCGAGACCCCGCTGCCCTCAGCTGCTGAGAAGGGGCAGCCTGGGGGGGGGTGGGGGGTGGTGAGACCGCCCCTCTCGGGCTGCCCTGTGCCCAGGGCCCTCACCTTGGCACCCAGCCTCAGCACCCATGCTTCCTTAGACCCTCCTGACCTAACCCAGGGTGGTGCCCTCCCCAAACCTCTTGGCTCTGACCTGTGTGAAAACGAGTTGGCTAGGTCAGTGTGGCCAGAGTGGTCCCAAGTGCCGGGCCCAGCTCTGAGCAGGCCCTGACTACCCCCTACCCACCCAAGGCTCCACCCCCCATGCCCCAGGCCTCTCCTCCCTTCCACTCTGAGGCGCCCCCCGCCGCTTCCCTCCCCCAACCAGGTTTTCAGCCCCCCAGCACAGACCGTCGGCAGCCCCCCTGCTCAGCAGGGCCTCCCTGGCCTAACCAACAGCTCCTCCCTTCCAGGGCCCGGGCCCCAGCCTGCGTGTGTTCACTGGTACAGCCCCCAGCCCACTGCTGCCACCTCCACAGCCCCTGAAACCCAGGCCCTGGACACGCAGGGAGATCTGTGCCACGGCAGCCGGAGGGCAGGGGAGCACGGGCTTGAGGGGACTTGGAGGTCCCCGCCAGGTGAGTATGGCCCCATTGAGGAGGGCCCAGGTGACCCCTGCTGATGGCATTGACCTGGGACCTTGACGGAGGGACACACCGGTCTCAGGCAGCGACTCACCCTCCTCTGCCGCCATGGGCCCTGGCCAGACAGACGGCAGGACGGCAGGCAACCTGTCTGAACTGTGCTTGGGGACGTGAGTCTCCGCTTAGCCTCAGGCAGGCTCAGAACGACACACTCCACTGCGGGCCCTGACCGGGGAGGGCAGGACGGCGACTCCAGGGCCCACGGCCACCACCGTGGAGCTGGCGTCACAGCGGGCACCGCAGGGCTGCTGCGCAGCAGCTGCTCAGGACAGGAGCACGGACTCCGGGGAAGCCCAGTCCCTGCCCGCTGCTGGAGGGTATGTGCGTAAGGTCCCTCCCTTCCCCGGCACAGACCAGGACGGGACTCAGGTGGGGGAGCACTCCCTGCACGCCCCCCCCCCCGCCCCCGCCGGCACTGAGAGCCCTGTGCAGCCACACCCCAGTCCCCTGCCCCCTGGGTACTTTCTCCTCTCCTGCTGGCACTCTTCTCCTGGGGAGACCCTGGCCGGGGACAGGCTTGTCCACGGAGAGCAGGGCGGCCGGTTTGGGGTGGGACCCTGAGAACAGAGGGGATGTGGACCAGGCCAGAACTGAAGCTTCAGGACACGGTCACCCCTCAGCACAACTCAGCAGCTGGGGACCCGCCCAGGGTCCCGGGAGCGGGAGCAGGAAAGGTTCTGCTGGCCCAGTGCCCCCAACACGGGGATGCATCTGGAAAACGTGGTTACTGTCGCCTCCTATGTGGGCTTCCTGAGAAACCTCACCCCCGCCCCGCCCCCACTTCAAGGCGGGTCTCTAGCTCCTGCGCAGGTGCGGGCAAATGCAACGCCTGGGCGGACCCACGCGGGGGGCCGCCTGCCAGGAGGTGCGGGACAGGCACCGGACGGAGCCTGGGAAGGGGCGGGGCCTGGGGAAGGGGGCAGGGCCCCGCGGAGCCTTCACCGACCCGGGCCGCAGCCTCTGGGCTACCGAACTAGACCTTTCACAGAAAAGACAAAAACAAACACAAAACTCTCGTCGCGGTCTCTGGAAATAAATATTCCCCGGTACAGTCCCAGCGACGGCCGCGGCCCTGGAACGGGAGACTTCACCGCAGCCACGGCCTCCAGGGCTCCCCGGGGCCCTGCGGCCCCGCCAAGGGGGCGGCGGGGGATGCCGCGGTCAGCCCCGGCAGCAGCGGCAGCGCGAGGGCTGCCCAGGGCCGAAGCAGCGGGAAGGGGCCGTCAGACGCCGGCCGGGGCTGCCTGCCGGAGTAGACACCGGACGTGGGCGGCTCCGAGGCGGGGGGCCCCAGCCGGCCCAGGCAGGCCGCCAGGTGGCCGAGCAGGCGAGAACGCACGTCAGCCGGGACGTCCTCGCAGCCGGCCAAGAAGCGATTCACCTCGGCCAGACACTCGTTGAAGCCGGCGCGGTACTTGCCCAGGACGGCGGGGTCTGCGCTGAGCGCGGCTGCGGAGGCGGCAGGAGAGCAGGTGGTCGGGGCCCGCGGCGCCGCTCCGCGCGCCGCTCCCCGCCCCTCCGTCGGGTCTCACCTGTCATTTGCACGCGCCGCAGGCTCTGCAGGTGCCTCACGGTCATCTCCAGGATGTCCGCCTTCTCCAGCTTCGAGTGGCGGGAGCTCTGCAGGCAAGGCCGGTGTGGGCGGCTTGCAGTCCAGCAGTGCCCCCGACTCCGGACTCCGCGCCTCGGCCGGTGGACCTCACCTGCCCCCGCCCGGGGCCCCCGACTTACATCTTTCCTCAGGGCGTCCAGGATGAGGGTCTTGAGCTGCGCGAGGCTTTCGTTGATGCGCGCTCGGCGCCGCTTCTCCATGACCGGCTTGGAGGACTGCGGGTCGGGCAGCGGCTGAGTCCCGCGTCCTTCCATCCCCAGCCCGCACCCCTTAACCCCGACCCGACCAGGTCCCACCTTGCGGTGCTCGGCCGCGCTCCGGGGCTTGTTTGGGGTTCGGCTGGCGCTGGCTGGCGCTCCCGCCAGCGGCGAGGCTCTCGGCTTCCCCGGGGTGTCTGCAGGCATGGTGCGCCCCTGCGCCTCCCGGCGCCGGGCGGAGCGTGCCGCCGAGGGCCGAGGGCGGGCCGGCGGGCCGGCGGGCGCGCGGCGCCCCGCGTCCCGCTCCGGCAGGCTCCAGGCGCGCGCGCGCCGGCCCGCCTCCCCGCTCTTTCAGGAGCAGCCCCGCCGGCGGTGTGAACGCGGCTCCGCATTCTTTCCCACACTCGCGCCAGCCAATCAGCGGCTGCGCCCTCCCTCCGCCCCCGCCCCGGCGCAGCGCCGCCCGCCCCCGGCCGCGGCCCCCGACAGCTGCCAGTCACGCGGCGGCGCCCGGCCCACCCCGCGGCGGGCTGTTTAGGCGGGCGGGCGCATCCCGCCCGCGCCCGCCTCTGGCACCACGGGGCCGGGCGGGAAAATCGCAGCACCGCCAGTGGGAGGTCTCTCTGTTAGCGCGGGCCCGGGGGGCTGGGCGGAGCTGCGAGGCTCACCTTCACACGGGCGGGAAATATGAAAGGAAAATTCAAGAGGGAGCCGACTCCCGCCTTCTCCCCAGGGCTGGGCGAGCCTCGACCAACGCGCCTCCTTCGCCCCCCACCGTTCCCGTTCCCCGCCAGGGCCTGGGGCCTCTGCACAGCCACCGAAGCTGACCTGCCGCGTGCTCTGGGGGCCTCCACCGCCAGCAGCACCTACCAAAGGTCTGCGACGCCGTGCACGCGGACGCCAGCCGCTGGGCAGGAGAGAGCTCGGCTGGCCAAGGTCTTGGAGCAGGCAGGATGGCCTCACAGCTCATTTACATGATGGCACAGGCCCAGTGGGGGCGATACCGCGGGGCAGGTAGAGGGGCGTCACCAGTCAGGCACGATGACGTCACGGGACAGAATGTAAACATGTCACTGGTTAGGCAGGCCACGTCACCAGGTAATCAGAGGCCATGTCTCAGGGTGAAGGTAGGTGATGACACAGCCAGATAGGGTGACATCATGGGGTGATGTCACACTCCTGTAGATGACCCGACATCAGGGGCAGCACCAGCAAAGCAGGGCTTAAAAAAACTAAGGGACAGGTGTTAAAACTTTGCTTATTTCCAAGTGGCACAGCAGGGAACGCAGGGCTGCACCTCTGTTCCCGTCTGACGTGGCCTTCATGTTGGATTCTGCTTCGGGGGCGCTTTCGGAGGTCACGGACCCTTGGGGAGACCTCTCCTGGGGCTTCTAATTCAGCACGGAGGCACCGCTGACACACAAAATAATTGCTCCGTGTCTGAGATGGACAGAAATGAGTGGGCTGCTGGGGAAGTGGAAACCCCTCTTTTCACTGGGTGGTCCGGGACTCTTCAGGGAAGAAGGCGGGGGAGGGGCCCTGCGGGATCAAAGGGGCTGCAGGAGCCCACGGACCAAGGGGCTTCTGGCCCCCCCCTCACCGGGAGGGTTCAGCAGAGCCTTGGGGGGCCTCTCTGACCAAGGGAAAGAGTCGACTGGCAGCTCTGAAGGGTCACCTCGGCTGCCGGGAGTCCACCTAGTGGTGGTGTGCACAGCTGGCCCTGCCCCAACACCCGTTTCCCGGGGTCCCCGTCCGGTATCTCTGCACTAAACAGATCCTGCCGAGGTCCCCTGGGGCGCTGGGTCAGGTGTGTGGAGGCTCAGCCCCTCCCCAGCACGCACACGCACACGCATCTACACGGGGGTGCATGCAGCGGAACTGACCTCAAGGCCCAGCTGCCCCTCACGGAGGGGAGGCCGCCCCCCGCCCTCCCTCTGTCCCCAGAGCAGAGGGTACAGTTGGGTGGGGCCCTCGAAGACCGCAGGAGGCTGACAGGATCCCCTCACGGGACCCTGCTGCAGAAAGTCCTGGGAGCACTGATTGGCCTGGGGCCTGCGGAGACCAGCTCTGCTGCCCAGGAGGTCCCCGGGGTCGTGAGCCTCCACTCCATGCCCCAGTGGCCACCCCTGCCTTCTCCTCCTGGCAGACGTCCTGGCTGGAGGCTCGACCAGAACTTCCTGGCCGGCGGGCAGGCGCTGGGCCGCCCGCAGCCTTGAGGACCAGATAAGCAGGGTGGTCCGGACGGGAAGGGCAGGCCCGGGGGGCCACACCCCTGATGGCTCTTCCCTTGTAGTTGTCCGACGGTCGACTTACCGGCCCACCCCGCCCCATCCCTGCCTCCTCACTGGTACGACGGGCTATCTCTTCATTTATCCCAGGGAAGGTTATTGGGAAGGTGAATGGAATCTTACGTTTGAAGCTCCGGGCCAGGAGAACTGGGAACATTCCTGATATGGTTGTTACCGGCCCCAGAAGCAGGCAGGAGAGGACTGGGCAGAGGGGTCAGCAGGGGGGCCCTGACTGGGCCAGCCCTCCCCTGAAGCCAGGAGCCCAGAGCGGCTCAACATCCCCAGTGTCTTCCCACAGGGCCTCACCTCCGCCGCCCATGTGGCTGTGTCTGCCTGGGCCCGTCCCTCCGACTGTCCCCTCCCTGTGTATCACACGTGGACTTGGTCTCTGGCGGGGCCCGTGGCGCTCCCGCGCTCAGAGCAGGAGGGTCCGGGCTGCAGTGCAGAGGTGGACCTGACACCCTGGTCTGGCAGCCGGCGTTTTCCAAAGACAAACGCGGCAATACCTCCCGTCCCGCGTGCTCCGTGGGGTGTCCTGGGTAGACTGCGATGACGTGGGCTGGGAAGGACAGGGGTCGTGAGGTGCGGCCTCGGAGTCTGGACATTGAAAATGCCACGCGTGCCCCCTGGGTCCTCTCAGGACTCCCACTCTCGGAACCCAGACGCCGCGCAGAAGCCCAAAGTGGCCCGGGGGAGAGGCCCCCGCGGAGGCCGGTGTGAGTGTCGCAGCTGCGCCCCAGTGGAGGTCTCAGCGGTGAGTCACCTCCCGACGCCCCCAGCCTTCGGCTGCCAAGCCGCCCACTCCACACCACCCCCACTGCCCCTGCACACCCGGTGCCAACTCTGAGGTCGCCGAATAGAGCCGACTTTGCTGGGACGTTGGGGTCTGTGTGTGGGTCACAGCAGTAACTCGGCAGCCGGGAAGGACCAGGCTCTGGACCCACCCTGAGAGAGTAGCCTCTCCTTCCCACGGCCCCATCCTCCCTGCCTTTACTCCCTTCTTCCTCCAGCATCTACAGAGGCTCCGTGGCTGTGAGACCTGCCTTTCTGTCCGGCAGGGTGCTCTTTGGGAGCCACTGAGGCCAGCTGTCCCTGGGGGCCGAGTCCCAGGGCAGCCAGAGCAGCTGAACCCCCACACCTCCTCTTCTCCCCTGGAAAGGGGGTGGGACCTGCCGCTGGCTTGCTGTGTTTGGGGTCCTCCCTCGGGTCTGTCACCTGTGCCGCCCTGCTGGGTCTGGGGTGGGGTCTGGAAGTCATTTAGTGGCGAGGGGTATCAAGGCGCTGGAGGCACCAGCACAGCCGGCCCTGGGTGTCCTCACTACAGACCCAGGGCCTGGGCTCCTGTGGGTCTGGACTCAGAGAAGACAGGCTTGGGGGCACCCTGCTCCTGATGTCTGCCCGGGTGGCCGCACAGAGCTGCGGGGTGTGCCTGGCCCTCGCCCCACTGGCAGCTCTAGCACAGGGACCGCGTGGGTCAGTGTCCAGCTGCGTCCAGCTGGCTGTGGGGCCTGCTGGGTTCCCTCCTTGTGCCTCCCTCGCTCGCCCTCACCAGGTTCCGTGGGTTTGACCTAATCCCGTGCCCCCACACTCTGCTCCTGCCACCCCCCGACTCCAGCTCACGCCCCAGCCCTCTTGTCTCAGGTCTTCCTTCCACCGTCCTCCCTCCCTGCCAGGCAATCCGGACGCAGCCAAAGGGATCCTGCTCATCTCTAGACCTCACCCCCACCCTCGCTGAGGGCCAGGCCTCCCCCCCAGGGTCTGCTTTGGTGGGAACCAGGCACCATGCTGTTTGTCGGAGGGGCCCACTGGTCCTGCTGGTCAGTGTGAAAGCAGCAGCCTCCTTTGCACCCTCTGCCCTTCACAGGGTCCTGCTCCCCACAGACAGGTTACAGGGCGCTGTGGCCAGGAGGGAGACGTGCCTGCCAAGCGGGGGGTAAGGCTCCGGCAAGGGAGGGGGCGTCCAGGACGGGAAGGCTGTGGCTGAGGTCAGCAGGTGGCAGCTGCTGGGCCTTCCTGGTTCCGGGTGGAGAGAGAGGCAGGTTCCGCTATGTAACTATCGCAGCTCAAAATTGCCCTTTCTTAAGAAATGTGCCCTGCCCAGGTCTGAGGACACCTGTCCTGGTGGGCCACAGGCTGCTTTCTCAGCCAGCCACGAAGCAGCCGGGGCCCCTGCCGGGCAGCCCCAGCCCTGTCTGCCATCAGGGCGACAGCCCAAGGTGACCAGAGGCCTCTGCAACTGGACCACAACAGGATGTGGTCCAGGAAGATGGGTTTGGGAGTCCTGACAGCCAGGTGGAAAGGCAGGGGAAGGACTTGGATTTGAGTGGGAGTAGCGAGGCGCTACATCTTGCTGAGGTGCGAGAGGTTTGGGGGCTGGGAGGCAGAATGGCCAAGAGTTATAGTCGAAACATTTTGTGTTTGCACTTTCATTTTTAGCTAACTTGCGCCTGCTACAGGCTGTTTGTAATATCATAGTAAGGATGTGGGACATAAATATTCAACAGCATGGGGCTGGTTAACTAACTCAGGTCCCGTACAGCACAACACGCCAGTTACAGGAGGGACACAGGCAGCCACTCACACAGCCACGCCCTTGTGTTTCGGATGGTCATGAGGGACCCCCTCAGATGGGGAGACCTCCGCGGGACACTGTTCCACAGGCAGCAGGTTTGTTGTGGTGGTTGTGGTTTTTATTGAGGTGAAATTCATAGAACGTAAACTCAACCAGTTTAAGCACATAACTCAGTGGCGTTTAGTATGTTTACAAGGCTGTGGACCTCAGCACCATCTAGTTCCAAACATCTCACCCCCCCGCCGAAGGAGGCCGTATGTTCTAAGGCAGTCGCTCCCCAGCACCCCCACGGCCCCCCGCGCCAGCCCCCCGGCAACCGCTGGTCTGTCCTCAGGTCTCCGCGGGTCTGCCCTGTGCGGACGTGGTGCCGCCGAGCCCCGAGGCCCTCCCTGCCCATCCTGGGTTCTCGTCCTGCTCTCGAGAGATTAACTCAACCGAGAGACAACACGGGAGGTGGAAATGAGACGGCAAGCTTACTTACGAAACGCATGAGCACGAAACACAGGCAGGCACCCGGCTCGTCTGAAGGTCTGAAGGCCCCACGTAGGGAGGACATAAAGTTGTCAGTAAGTTTCGTTTCTTTTGTTTTTTTTGAGGGAGACAGGAAAGTCACAGCTTTTTTTTTAAATTCCTGTTGGCAGTTTATTTTGTTTATTTTTTTAAAGGTTTTCTTTTTTTAAGATTTTATTTATTTATTTTTAGAGAGGGGAAGGGAGGGAGAAAGAGAGAGAGAGAGAGAAACATCAATGTGCGGTTGCCTCTCATGTGGCCCCCACTGGAGACCTGGCCAGCAACCCACACATGTGCCCTGACAGGGAATCAAACCTGCAATGTGTTAGTAAGTTTCTTTTATCCACTCAAGCCGAGGCTACAAGTGGGCCCTCTGCTTAATCTGAGAGCCGACTAACTACAGGGGTTCAGGATTACATAATCTAGTCAGTTGCTATGCTCCCTCCTTCTCCCCTTGTAAACCTTGGGAATAATGTGCAGCTACAAAGGCTTTCCTTCTCAGCTAGTGAAGGCTCTTTGTCTTAGTGGAAACGGCTCCCTTTCCCAGTGCAGAGTCTCAAGGACGCCCCTCCTGCGCTGTCCCTGCTGTGATGTTTGGACACCCCGCCGTCTTATCCGACTGGGCTCAGGACTGCGGCTCAACCGGCGAGATGTGTCCCCCTCCCCCGGCTTGCCTTACCTGTCCTATACCTGACAGATACTCCCGATACATAGAATCACCGCGGTACAGTGCCTTCCACGCCGGGCTCCTGTCACTTGGCACAGCGTTTCCACGGCGCACTCACACTGTAGTACGTGTCTGCGCTCCGTCCCTGTCTGTGGCTGAGTGGCAGTCCCCTGTGACAGTGGACCACGTTGCGTTTTCACAGTCACTGCTGAGGGGTTTGGCTGTTCCCACGGCTTCCTCCATTTTTCTGTTGTAAATTAGTGCTGCTGTGGGCATTTGTGTACAAGTATCTGTTTAAACACCCGTTTTCCATTCTCCTGGGCATACACCTGAGAGTGGGGTTGCTGGCTCATGTGAGATTCTGCTTAACCGTCAGAGGACACGTGCCCATCGGCAACGGGCGAGGACCAGTCTCTCTGCATCCTGCTCAGGACTTGTTCTGCCACTACTACTGCCACTACCACCACCGCTACTACTATTATTTATTACGGCCAAGGTCTCACTCACCTCTAGTTGGCGTGAGCTCTCTCGCTGTGGTTTTGACCCGCATCCTCGAACGGCGCTGAGCAACTTCTCGTGAGCTTGCCGGCCACTTGCATATTTTCTGCAGAGAAATGCCTGTTCAAGTCCCTGGACCAGTGTGCGATTGAGTTACATTTTTGTTGTCGGGTTGTAAGACTTCCTTATATATTATGGACACCAGACCCCCATCTGACATACGATTTGCAAATATCTTCTCCCATTTTTGTGAGTCGTCATTTCATGTTCTCCATAATGTCTGCTAGTTCCTTGCTGCAGGAAATAAAAGCTACATCTCTTTCATAAAGAAAAGACAAGTTGAACAAATCTTGCACTAGACCAACGGTGATCGTGCCTGGGCAGTTTGGATTGTCACTATTTTATGTTATATCCGAATTAACCATGTCAAAGTTTCCTAAGTTTCCTAATTTTGTCAGCCGGTAAATGGAAAGTGAAACTTCGGTCGTTACTGCACGTTAGTGTGACTTCAGCGCGCCTTGTATGGACCCCAAAGCACGCCCCCCGGATGGGGTGCGGACCTGCTTTCCAGGCGTGGCCGGGTGGGTAAAAAGTCCTTTCTCCGTTCCTCACTGTTTTGTTTCTGCCGCTGGCGCCGCGCCACCCTTGGGGAAACGGAAACCGAAACCGTAGTGGCGTCGCGCTTGCGCTCCGCGGCTGGGGAAGGTGGCCCTAGACACGCCCCCGCCGGCTTTAAAAAGGGTTGCGCGCCCGCGCCGGTCTTCGCTGCGGCTTTGGCGGGACCTGGGACGCAGCTGGAGCTGAGACACAGCTGGAGCTGAGACACAGCGCGCTCATCACTGCGGCGGAGCACCTGGCTGCGGAGCCCCCAGACATGGTGAGGCGGGTTGACAAGCGGGCCCGGCGGGGCAGCACCGGTCCATTTTCCTCCCCCTCCCCTTGTGGGTCAGGCAAGCAGAGCTGCTCAGAACGCCCAGCTTCTGAAGTGCGAATGGAGGGACAGGGCTCCTCCCGAGGTCACAGCGTGGGTCTTGAAAGGTTATTCTGAGATCCCTTGAGGGGACATCTTTTAAAATATATATTCATATTTATATACTTTTAGAGAGACGAGAAAGAGCGGGAGAGAAACATGGGCCGGTGGCCTCTCATATGCCCCCCACTGGGGACCTGGCTCACAACCCAGGCATGTGCCAGGACTGGGAATGGAACCAGCGACCCTTTGATTCACAGGCCAGTGCTCAGTCCACTGAGCCACATCAGCCAGAGCCCTTGTGGTGGGGGCGGGGGGGGGCATTTTAGCTGGTGGAAAAGAGTCAAGTGATGATCGTGGGCAGCTGGCCGTTCCTTGAGGAGTGCCCCCTCGTGCGTCTCCCATACTTGGGGTCCCTCTCCTGGTGATGGAAAGAACCCAGAGGAGAGAGCTGGGCCCCTGACACTAGGAGCCTGCCCCGTGCCAACGCTCTATGGGTAGTGGCCCCAGGAGGAGTGCCCAGGTCTCTGAGCTCCATGCGATGCCCACAGGACAAGATCCTGAAGGTGAAGCTGCTGTCGGGCGAGGAGGTCCAGGTGCCCTGGACCCATGACTCCATGCTGCCCGCGGACCTGAAGCGTCTGATTTCCCAGAAGATCAACGTGCCCGGCTTCCGGCAGCGCCTGGTCATCCCGCACAGCGGCGCAGTGCTGCGGGATGGCGTGCCCCTGGCCGAGCAGGGCCTGGGCCCCGGAAGCACGGTGCTGCTGGTGGTGCAGGACTTCAGCACCCCCCTGAGCATCCTGGTGAGGAACGAGAAAGGTCGCTCCAGCAGCTATGAGGTCCAGCTGACACAGAAGGTGGCTGATCTCAAGCAGCAGGTGTGCCGGAAGGAGGGTGTGCCGGCCAACCAGTTCTGGCTGAGTTTCCAGGGGAGGCCCATGGAGGACAACGTGCAGCTGCAGGAATACGAGCTCACACCTCAGTGCACTGTGCAGATGAACTTGTACCTTCGGGGTGGCAGGGTGGGGCCAGGAGAGCAGCAGTGAGGGCCACTTGTGAGTCCCTGACCAAGGGTGCAAATAAAAGTTGATGCACAGCTAACTGGCTGCCTTTGTGTCTGCCCTCCCCGCCCCCAGCACCCTCGCCTCTGTCAGCCCTTCATTCAGCACCCCTGGTGATGAACTTGTTGGGGGGAGGTGGAAGAGGGAATAGGGCAAGGGGACCCAGGGCTCCTGGGTGGTCACCAGTCTGGTTTTGCCAAGGTAAGGGACAGCCTAGTGGGATCAAAATAGTAACACCCCCACCCGCCACTGAGAAGTTGAGGATGTTCCCATACCTTTGGGAAATTAACCTCTGGAGAGAGAAAAAAGAACTCACTGGAGCCCACCTCTGCCTCCAGGTGGAGCACAGTCAGCCTCAGAACAATTGGTCCCCACCGAACATCTTGGCTGGTTGGCAGATAGCAGCCGGGGGGGGCAGGGCAGGTCCCTGAGGCCACAAGGGGCGGTCCCAGCTGGGCCAGGGCCCCTGGAAGAGGTAAGGGAATGAGTCCTAGGGCCTGTTTGGGTGGGTTGGGAGGTGGGGGCCTCTCTGCCCCCCAGGATCCACCAGCTGCCTTGCCCAGCCTGCAGTGGTCTGGGGAGGTTTGGGGGCGGGGCCTGGACACGCATCACCACCCAGTGAGCTGCTGAGTGGAAGCTGTCCATAACTTCAGAGTTTCACTGAATGGAGAGGCCGTGGCCAGCAGGGGCGGGGCACCTGGATGGGGGTTCCCCCAGCCAGTGGAAGTTTGCGGAGAGCACCGTTTGGCACAAACTACACATGCTTCCACGGCAGATGCTTCCTCCTAGCCGTTTCCCAGATGAGCCCAGGGGAGACGGCCTGATCAGCCTTGGATGCAGACGAGATAGGGATGACAGGACAGACACCTCCCTGGGCAAAAGTCCGAGATCCTGGGGACACTCAGATCTCAGTTTCCAGACTCTTCTGGGGGATTTATTTTGCTGGAGACCCAGAAGCCCCCTCTGTAGTCTGTGGGAGTCTGTAGTTGGGCTGGGGGGTTCCAGGTCTGCTCTGCCCATGATGGATATGCGGACGTGTGTGGACAGACCTACAGGGATGCTTCCGGGAGGCTGGCCTGGTCCCAGCCGTTCCCTGGGCCCCACTCCCACCTCTCGGTCCTACTGCAACTCAGCAAGTGTTCAGTACACGCCCTTGAGGCCGCCTCCGTTCCCGAACCTCCCACGAGGGTCTGGAGAAGTAGGGTCCTCCGAGAGAGGGGTCTCAGCAGAGCTGCCCCTTCATCGCTTCTGGGCTCGAGCCAGAGCTCTGCGGCTGGCTTGGGGTGAGGGGTGAACCTCAGACCCAGCCCTGCAGCACGGGGGGTCTCCCCGCCCCGTCCCCCCCGCCCTCTCCACCTACAGCTAGGCCAAGCTCTAATTTGGATGCTCTGGATCGCAGTTCACCCCAGCACTTAGCCAGGCTGGAGAAGCGCCCTTCTGGGAGCCGGGAGGGGGCGTGCCCGGCCGCCCCGCCGCTGACCTGAGATCGCGGCCGCTGGCCTGCAGGGGGAGCCCTCGGCCCTGCTATGAGGCCCCAGCCGACCGGGAACGGAGGTGGGCGGGCCTGTGCTGTCCTGACCAATGGCCGCAGTGCCGGTCCCGCATTGGCCGGAGCCAGCGGGGGGCGCGGCCCGCTGGAGCAGCCTCCTCTCCGTGACCCGCTGGGGGTCCCGGCCCACTGAGCTTCCGTCCCCCCGTTGTAGCTGGGGGCTGGGGTCCCGAGTCAGGTTCCTCCCGTAGGGGGAGGGGCGCTGTTCTGCAGTGCTCGAGGGCTGGCGGGGTCCCGGGGTCTTGGCAGGCCCTTCCCGAGGCCGGGGAGCCCCTGCCACTTCGGCCCCGGCGCAGCCTGGAGCCCCTTGGAAGTCCCGTCACGTCGCCTCCAGATTATGCATTAACCCGATTTCAGCCGCATTTCCTGGGGGCCGGAGACGGCCTTGCGGGCGGGGGAGGGGAGTCTGTAGGGGGCCGCAGCAGCCAAGAGAACACCCCGGGCCGCCCTCCGCCCTAGCCAGTCCCACCACCCACCTCCGCCCGGCCCAACCCAGTCCCCTCCCTCCCCCAGCCCGGCCTCCGCCCGGCGCCGCGGTCCCATCGCTTTGTTCGCGGGGCAGGCGCTGGGCGTCGGGCGCCGGGCGGGCCGGAGGCGGTGCAGGCGGTTGGGGGGGCGGTGCTGCCCGGGTGCCGCCCTCGCCCCGCCTCCGTGCCGCCCGCGCTCCCACCCTCCGCCGGGGAGCTGCGTCCCGTCCTGTCCATTCCGGTCCCCGGCGCGGCCCGGCCCGTGCGCTTGCTCCAGCCGCCTTCCGCCGTCTGCCCCCCGCCATGGCCAGCCTGTGGCTGTCCGGCCCGGCCCCGCTGCGGCCGCTGCTGCTGCTCCTGGTGGTGACCGCGCGCGCCCTGCACGGCGCCGACGGGACGTGCCCAGAGCGCGCGCTGGAGCGGCGGGAGGAGGAGGCGAACGTGGTGCTCACAGGCACCGTGGAGGAGATCCTCAACGTGGACCCTGTGCAGCACACGTACTCGTGCAAGGTGGGCCCCCGCCGGGACCCCCGGAGCCCTGAGACCCCTTTCGAACCCTCCTGGAACCCTGCGGGGGACCTCTTTCCCCGCGATCACGGCCCCCAGTCCGGAGGCCCGCCCCTCGCGGTGCTGGCGGCCCCGCAGAGACCCTTGTCCCAGGCCGTGGGAACGAGCCCCAGACGCTCCGCAGCTCCCGCTCCCGCTCCCTTGGCGACCGCCGAGCCGCCGGGTGGGGCGCCGGGTCCCGGAAAACTCGCGAGCGCCGGAGGGAAAGTTCCTGCGGTACCGCTGCAGTCCCACCTGGAGGTGCCCAGGCCCAGGGGACCGAACCCCGTCAGCCTCTCCACCCCAAGCCCACTCCCTTGTTGGAAACAACTAGTCGCCCCCCAGGGAGAGTGTGTGGTTACCGCACCGGCTCCCCAGCAGCCAAAGAAAAGGAGTAAGGGACGAAGGGAGGTGACGGTTTCTGTCTGGGGGAGAGGTGGGGGTTCCGCCTGTGGTCAGTGCTGTCGCCCCTCCCCAGAGGGCTTTATCAGGGTGAGAGGGGGTGGTCAGAAGAAAGGGGTTCACAGCTAATCTCCCGACCTCGGGGATCCTGGTGGGGGGTGCTGCAGTGCTGGGAGTGGGGGCTGGAGCAGAAAAGTGGGCGGGGCGTTGCCGAACCTCAAGTGCTCGCGGTGGGGGTGGGAGGCAGGGGCAGGTGCCCCATCTGCTCCTGTGAGACCTGCATTTGCCCTCGCCTGGGGCGGGGGTGGGGGTGGGGGGATTGCTGGGTGCCCTCCAAAGTGGGACTCTGCAGCCTCCTGGGATAGGTATGATGGGTTTTAAACCACAATGCAGTCCTATGATGGGCTCAGGGCACCCAGGCCCATTCCTCGCCCCCCTTCTAGCCCCTAAAACTATCTCCTGGACCAGAAATCGGATCATTCGTCTTCCTTTGGAGATGGGGAGAGTGGCAGCTTCTTTCAGATGGGCCTGTGAGGGCTACAGCTGGGATCCCCCGCTGGGCCCCCTCCCCTCCACCTCGGGGCACTTTGCCAAGTCCCTGCAGGATTTTCCCGACTTCCTCCCTGCTGCTCCTGGGTGTGGCTGGGGTGGGGGGAGGCGATGAAAGCTGCCCAGCCCTCCCCGCCGCTGGTTACCCTCCTTCCGAGCCTACTGTGTGTCTGGAGGTTGGAGGGAGAAGGCTGGACACGGCTCCACCCAGGCCACTGGAGGGTGGAGGGGTCTCTGCAGATGCTTCAGTCCCCAGGTTCCCAGCAGCGGGAGGGAGGGAGGCAGGTGGACTGGCCACCGTTGTCTTTTATCCCCCAGTTTGGAAGCCCCAGCTCCCCAGAGCTCCTGCAGGTAGAGTGCTGGGCTCCTCTGGGCACATGTCCTGGGGACCTGTTTCCTTGAGGGCAGCCTGCTGTTCAGCCTGCAGTACCTGAGACCCTCCAGGCCTACCCCCTCGCCCCCCCCCCGCAGCAGGCTGCAGGCATCCCAGGGCCCAGTGCATCAGAGCAGGCGCCCTCAGGGCCCGAGGAGCAGGAGTGGAGGGTGCGGCCGCCAGTGCTGCCCAAACTTGATTTTGTGGTTCCCAGGCGGCCTAGGCTGCTCGCTGGAGGAGCCCGACTGGAGGAGGGGGCTTTTACCTCCTGGGGGTGGGGAGTGTCTTCGCCCACCCACAGGGCTGCAAGGAAACCCTGCTGGGTCAGAGCCCTGAGCTCAGAGCCTGTCACCCTGAAATGCTACCATCCATTCAGCTGCTCCTGGCCCTACCCAGGGTGGGCAGGTTGGGGAGAGTGGGGTAAGGGAGACAGGCAAGCCAGGCCAGGTAGGGTCCCCCTCCCACATCCAGCCTGGGCTGACTTGGCTGGTATGGGTGGCTGGGGTCCGTTAGACCTGGGGGTGGGGAGCTGCCTCCTGGGGGAGGGGGGTGTTCACAGACCCTGTGCCTGTGACCTCCTGCATGACACTCATGGTCGGCGGCATCCGTCCTGCGTGTGCTTCCCTGCATCCTGCTCTGGGGCCGACCCGAGGTCTCCTCACTCTCTGCCCAGGTCTACTCTGGATATCTGGCTTGAGCAACAGAGGTGGGAAGGGAGCCAGAGACCCCGGCACCCAGTCTGGTGTTTGCTCCTGGCCTCTGTGGCCCCTCTCCCCGGTGGGAAGAGGATCGTTGATACCTCCCCCCCAATCCACCCCAGGTTCGGGTCTGGCGGTACTTGAAGGGCAAAGATGTGGTGACTCAGGAGAGCCTACTGGATGGCGGCAACAAGGTGGTGATCGGTGGCTTTGGAGACCCCCTCATCTGTGACAACCAGGTGTCCACTGGGGACACAAGGATCTTTTTTGTGAACCCTGCACCCCCGTACCTGTGGCCAGCCCACAAGAACGAGCTGATGCTCAACTCCAGCCTCATGCGCATCACCCTGCGGAACCTGGAGGAGGTGGAGCACTGTGTGGAAGGTGCGTGGTGCGGGGAGACCGGGTGGGGGCCGAGGCCGGAACGCACTGTACCTCACAGGCGGGGGTCTGACTGACTTCCTCAGTGCCCTGGCTTCCTGCCTGTCTCCGCTGTGTCAAGGCCAGCTCCAATCTCTGACGTCAGCAGTGCCCCCAAGCCCCCAGGACGCCACCGTCTTTTGTCCTAAGGCTGAGCAAGTCCCTAGCCCTGCAAAGGGGCAGGCCTCCCCTCCCCTCCCCCTCCCCGGCTCTGCACCTCCTGGAGGGTCTGTTTGTAGGGGAGAGGCTGGGACCAGGTGAATGAACACCAGCTGTTCAAGTTCCTGCAGAGGCCCAAACATCTGTCTAGACAGGGCCCAGATGTTGAGCAACGGCCTGTGGGTGGGGCGTATGGATGAGGGGCTGCCCCTTGGTGCGCTCGAGGCCCGTCACTTCTGGGAAGGGGCAGTTCTGTGGGGCGGGGGTTTGAAAGAGGCAAAGGACTTTTGTCTGATGTCTCCACGTGCCCATCCGAATGGCCTGAGAGTGCCTCTCCCACCCCCCACCCCCAGCCTCTGGGAGCAGGAATCAACAGGACCAGGGCTCCCCACCCCCGCCCTCCCCATTGCCCCAGGACCGTCCTGGTTAAGGGTTGAGATCCTTGGCTGGCAGATGTATCAGGGAGAGTGTAGGAACTGCCAGTCGTCCCCACATCCTGTCTGTCTCCTCAGGGCTGCCTGGGAAGGGATGTATGGGGGGCGGCGTGGGAGAATGCTTCCTCCCCAGGGGAGCTGGAGGGGTCTCTGACTTCCTGTCTCAGGAAGGGGACCGTGTCCCTCAGGTTTGCTCCCCTGGACAGCAGGGAAGTCCCACCTTCCATCTGACTTGGTGCTGAGGTGCTGGCCTGGCTTTTGTGGGGTCCTGGATGGCGGACTTGTCTGGCCTCGGGTGACTGTAGGGGGTGGGAGCAGGCCCGAGTGTCTTGCCCAGCCTACTGTCGGCTGCCTCCGGGGCTGCCTCAGGGTCCCGGCTGCAGCGTCACAGAGAAGCCAGCCAGCAGGCCTGTGTGTCCCTGGTCCCTTGCCAGCACTGGCTCGGCAGAGGGAGCTCAGCCTGGCCCGTCCCACCAGGCCAGAATATGAGGCCCCGGCCCCACTCTGGAAGCTTCTGGTCTAGGGAGGAGACAGGAGGGAGACGTGCAGGTGAGCTGCTGGGTGATTGTGATGCCCGGTTTGGGGGTGCGTGGGGGCTAAGGAGAGGCTGGAGCCGAGGGGTCAGGATGGACAGTCCCCTGTTCGTGATGGGGGATGGAGAGGGCGCACCACCAGGTGCATTGCCGGGCGGGCCCCGCCGGAGGGTCCGTGACTCAGCAATTGCGGTTCAGAGCTGAGGCTCTGTCGGGTCAGAGCTCGTGCGGCATGAGGCCCACCTCCCGCAGCACAGGACTGGCCACCTGGGCAGAGTCCGGCTCTGGCCACGCCAGGCTAGGAGAAGGGACAGCTGAGCAGGAGGGTCCACAGGGAGGGCCCCCCAGCCAGGACTGAGGCAGACTTGACCCACTGTGTGTGCTGCCTGCCTTGGCGGCCAACCCTTGGGGGCCCGTCTAGGACTCAAGCTCCAGCGGCAGGTGGGTGCCGGGACCCACAGGCCCGTGTGCAGCAATGGACTGAGCACCCCGCAGGGGCGGAGGCCACCGGACTCTCCTGAGGTCAGCCCACCAGTGAGGAGGGTCTCAGGGAAAGGAGTTCGTGGAGAGGAAGGGAAAGGACATGGTCTGGAGCCTTGTGGGTGGAGGGGCCCAGAATGAGGAGCTTGGGCCCCACTGGAAGGCTTCGAGCTGGGCCGCATGGACCTCTGCTTTGGAGGCAGGGCAGGGTGCCGAGGGGGTGGGCTGGAGGCTGGGGTGAGAGCGGGGCGCTCCAAAGCCTGAGGGACAAGGTCCCTTGCAGCCAGGGCCAGGTTCCGGGAGGAACAGCCTCGGGCCCGTGTCCCTCAGGCTAGCAGGGTGGGAGCAGGGGCCCCCTCTGGTTCTGTAGATGAGGGCCTCAGACCCCAGCCGGGCTCTCCAGGACCCCGGCCTCACCCTGCTGAGGACAGGGCCTGAGATCAGCTGAGACCTTTCTTCCCCATCCGACTTGGACCCCACTTTGTTCCCAGAGGCCCCTAAGGCCCCAGTGTGAAGTCTGGCAGCCACTCATCTGTGGCGGTCACCGCAAGACCTGATATCAGGTCTCACCTCGTCCCTAGCACACCTCACCCCCTACAAGGCCCAGAGCAACCAAAAGGGGACCATGTCCTCTGAGGCCCACCTCCTGGGGTGCACCCTCTCCTCACCCCGGCCGGGGTCTGAAGGGGCAGCTGCTGCTGTCAGCACACCTGGTCCCCAGCCCTGCTAGGACCTGCCTCCCTCGGTTTCTCCCCAGGACCTGCAGGGTCTCCTGGCTCTGCTGGCCAGGCCCCTTCCCCAGCCTCCAGCCCCTAAGCACGCCCCTCCCCTAGCCCTGACCTGGGGAGCCACATTCCTGGCATAGCTGAAGACAGGTATGTGTCCCTCCCTCTGCGCCACCTTTGGGTGAGGGAGGCCTGCTGCCCTTCTGGCAGGAGACGGCCCCCCGTTGTCAGGGATGTGGCCTGGCCGCCCGCACTCTCCGAGCCTGCCCAGGCTGCCGGCCAGCAGGCATCTCGTCCGGCCCTCAGCCACCCTGTCCTGGTCGTCTGGACATGGCCCCCGCACTGCCCCCATACTCCCTGCTCCACCGCATGGGGGCAAGTCCTGGGCCTCCCCTGCATCACCCAGGAGGACACAGGCCTAGGTGGGCCGGCCGGCCTGGGGCCCTCCCTTCCCAGTAGGAGCCGGAGCGGAGAAAGGAAGTGTTGTTTGCCCCCGCCAGGCCTGGCACGGGGACAGGGTCGGAGTGAGTCTGGCGCTGGCCCAGCCGGGCCCTGCCCAACTCTGAAGCCCGGGTCCTGTCTGGCTCGCCGAGGTCAGCTCCCCTGGCCCGGCCCGCCGTGCGGGGCCTCCAGGAGGGCCTTGCTGGGGCTCAGGCCGCAGGGATGTGCGCCCTGCGGGGGGCTGAGCGGGCGCTCCACCCTGCGGAGGCAGGGAGATGCCCAGGGGAGTTTTCTGGGCTGCCTCCCTCGGGGCTGGGCATTTAGCCTCCGCACCCTCACGATTCCGTGGCCTGACCCACCCCCTCCACATTCCTCCCTGCTGACGTGGGAAGTGGCTTCTTCCTGTTCACGTTTCCCTCTCCTGCCCCGTCTGGACTGTAGGTTCTCACCCCGCCCCCGCCCCCCCCCCCCGCAGACCCCACCCTGCCCCCTGCCTGGCCCCTCCCCCAGGCCGGGCCTAGAGGAGGCAGGTCCGGGCCGGCGGCTGCCCGCCCGCCCGCCAGCCTCGCTCCTGCCCCAGGGCCGCTGGGGGCGGTGTCTGCCCGGGCGGGGCGTGCTCGCGCACCTGAGGTGCCTGGTGGGAAGTCGGTGCGCAGGGCTCGGCGTGTGCCGGCTTGGACTCCACCTGCGTTCGCGCTGTGGCCGCCGCGTGTGTTCACGGGGCGGCCGGGGCTGCGATCTCCCGGCTTCCCCTCGGGCTGAGCTGGTGGAAACAGCGCTTGGCTTTTTCCACACCCCACCCCAGCCCTCGCTCTCCGCCCGGAAGGGAGGCCGGCCTCCAGTCTCTGCACAGACTGGAGTGGGGAAAACATGGGCTTCGAAACCGCCCGTCCCTCTCCCTCCATCGGTAGCTCAGGGTGCCGGACAGAGCGCTCAGGTGGGGCCTACCTGTGCCCTCTCAGCCTCCGTGGGGGCCGGGGCCACACTGCACAGGTGAGGAAGCCGCAGGTCACCTGGCCAAGGCTAGCTGTCCTAGGTCTGGGGCTACAGGCCCCGACCCCGACCGGCCTCCAGCAGGGGCAGGAAGTGGCAGGGACTGCCACGGGAGGGTTCTGGGGTGGCTGGCACAGACCCCAGCGAGCGTGGGTCTGGACAGTCATCCCACCACCCCTCGAGGTCGGCCATCTCGGTGTCTGCGAGGTTTCCTCCCCGCAGGGGGCTGCAGACAGCTGCAGAAACAATCTCTGCCCTCCCCAGCCTTTGCCTCCACCTGTGGGGCCCGGCCAGCTGCCGCCCCCGCCCCCTGCCCAGCTCAGCCCCTGCCTCCAGGCCTGGGTGGAGCGGGATGGACTTCCTTCCTGCCCAGGCCTCCTGGCCCTGGCACCCCCACCCCATTGGGGTCGAGGAACCTGGCTCCCCACACCCACACAGGCCACTGGGGCCAGGCCTGCAGGCACTGGGGCGCCTGGCCCCCCAGAGTCCCAGGATGTGCCCGCCTCTCATGCAGAGACATGACACAGCACCCCGGTGACAATTACCGGATGACAGTGACACAGCTCAGCTGGGAAGGGGGCTATGCCCCCCTGCAGGTCCTCACCGGGACCCCAAAGGGGCCATGTTGGAGCCCAGGCTGTGGCTGGGATCTTGGCCTGTGGTGGGGGTGGGGCGGGGAGCTCCCCTCCAGGGGCCTCTCCCCCTCCAGCAGATCCTGAGAACTTCCTCTGAGGAAGGCCCCCTGCCAGGGGCGGCCGACAGCTGGACCTGGGAAAGGGAAGAGGCCCCTCCTAGGCAGGCCCCCCGCTGCCCCCCGTGGAGAGGGGCTGGGAGAGGGAGCTCTGTCCGGTCAGGCTGTGTGGCCCGCACGTGTGCATCTGTGTGCGTGCACACGCACCCTCGGCCTCAGACGCTGCGACCTGTGCACAGGGGAGTTCTGGTCGGAGCCCCAGCAGGCGGCCTGTGGCTCTGCCGCGCTGTCTCCCCGGCTCCATCGAGGGCCAGGGCCTGCTGGTGCCTGACAGCAGGCTGGTAAGGGGTGGCCTGTGGGTGTGCCAGGGCCTCGGGGACAGGCCTCCGGCCTCTGTCCTCTGTGGGTCCCAGCCCAGCCTCTGCTGGCTGCAGGTGGTCCCGTCTCCAGCCTGCCCGCTGCCCCTGTGTCCAGTCCTGCCCCAGGCTGGCAGAGGGCTGGAGACCAG